AGTGAAATACAAATGAAATAGATGCGCACCACGTTTAAGGTTCTTTTTGCTTTTTGAAAACGTGCTTTTTTAGATTAATTTTTTAATCTACTAAATTTTTTTTATCGATTTTCTCACAAAGACGTTTCAAGCTTGCCGTGCCAAATACAAAGATAAAAGCTACTGTTATTTCTAAACACGGTTACGTTTTGTCTCACGAAAAGCTTGCAGGAACCTTTGGAAATCGTTATTATTATAAGAATCTTCATGTCTGACTGATATTGGTCTGGCAATTCTCAAACGTGACGTAAAATACTGAACTGTACTCGAGAAAGCACCCCTAGCAATGATCAAACTAAGCTATTGATCTTCACAACGAACTCTCAAAAATTGCCGTAACGATTTTTGGGGGTGCCTTGCAGAACAAACGTATTTCTTGACCAAAAACTCGCCCCGTGAACAGTTGAAAAAAAAGAAAAGGCTCTCCTAGCAAACACTGTCTTGCCAATCGAGCGGTGAGCCCACATTTATAACGAATTTTCATTCCAAATTTTTTCCATTTTCAATTCCCTGATTTTTGATGAGACAATACAGTATTTCTTGCGCAACAAAATTTGTTGAACCTTTAAGAATACGAACCTATTTATAAGAACATAAGCAAATTAAATCAGCAAATAATTTAGAAGTACTTTTACCAAAATTATTTTCTGCAGGAAGGGGCACTGGTGCTCAATTTCCATAAATTCTTGAGAGGCATGTCGAAAAATTATGAAAAATTTTGCTGGAACTAAGGTTTGAATCTTTTGACTGCTAGTAAGTTGGGCGAACTGCTGGGACTCAAGAAAAATTGTATGCCAAGATTTGTTATGCAATGATGGAATACTACTCGGTGAATCCTGGTTCTGCGTTCAATAATCCAGTCGTGGAAGATATTAACAATTACATTTACATGTAACTGCAATTATTTCTTAAAATGTGTTCTTAATGACCCTGCTTTGTCTTGTGTACATTTCCCGAGTGATTTCCTTCATTTTCCTCTTCCGAACAGGGCTGATGATGGGAGAAACTGGCTTGCCTGGTTTGCTGTTGTTGATGCTTGACATTGAAACCGACCCAGTATTAGTGAAGGACGTGAAGGAATGTCTTAACTTCATGCTTCAAGCGTTGGGCGAACAGAATCTGCAATTCTGGTTGCGTCTGTGTAAGGAAGTTCTGACAGCGGCATCAGGTATGATAATTCAATCTCATGTTCAGTTCTTCAACTTAGTAATTCATTTTGCGGTTTTGCCATACAGATACGACGAACAGTGACCAAACACATTTGGAAGAGGAGGAAGAAGAAGGAGATGAATTAGGAGCTGGCATTCAATTGGAGGAGACAAACTTGGCGTCTCCTCGGTGGCCCACGCGGGTTTTCGCTGCACTATGTGTAAGGCGACTGATATGCGTCACCTCAGAGTCGAAAGATCCTGCGCACTTTGATCTCGGATTGGCTCGTAAAAAGCTCATTAGCCTAGGAAATGGTAAAGACATTGATTTGTCACAGGTGATTGCAGTGAATAAAACTGATCGCTCTTCGCACACTCGCAGGGGAATTTCTAGTCCTGCACCTGTCGGACCTCATCAGAATGGGATTCATTGCTGCAACAGGCGATTGTGATCCTTTGCGTCTGGAGGGCCTGTTGCTCTTGCAGCTCATCATAGACAAGTTCTCTCAAGTACCAGAACCAGAGTTTCCCGGTCACTTCCTTCTAGAACAATATCAAGCGCAAGTGAGTTTTCTAAAATGTACATAACTTACTTTCGAACAATATACAGGTGGACTCTCAAAAACGAAATTCAGGGACGATGCAAGAAAATTCTTTGCGGAGAACGAAATTTCAAGGGTCACGTTGTGAAATAAAATGTTTTAGACTATTTAGACTTTTTAGAGTGTCTACCTTTTATATATTCCTGTACAGTATTCCAGATATTAGGTATGGTAAATGGTGAAGTCGTTGCTTAGTTTTGTTTTTTACAGATCTGCCCCTGGATCTTTAATTTCTGGGTTAGGTTTTATTCTCTGGAAACTAAATGCATGAGAACTCATTCGCTCTGCGTAGGTGGGAGCAGCCTTGAGACCGGCTTTTGCTCCAGATACACCTTCACACATTACTGCAATGGCCTGTCAAGTTTGCAACTCATGGATTCGTGGAAGTGGAGTTTCCGGTGACCTAAATGATCTGCGGCGAGTGCACCACTTGCTTGTTACATCTCTTACTAAGCTGAAGAAGCCCGCGAGTGCCACTCAGCACACGGGTTTTATTTACAATGAAAGTGCCATGACTCTGGAAAAACTAGCGATTTTGAAAGCATGGGCGGAGGTTTACGTTGCGGCCATGCATGGGCGTAAAGAAGAACGGACTCACCGGAAGACAGCCACCTCTGAGAGTGAGGACTCGAAACAAGATGGAGAATTACTGGATGCAGAATCTGCCGGAGTCGATGGCAAAGGAGGCAATTTGCTAAGCCTCGTAGAGCCGGAGTTGGTGAACTTGTCAAAGCATTGGTTGGCTGGGTTGAAAGACTATGCCTTGCTTTCACTGCCCCCGGAATTCGCGAACCAATTGCCCCATGACGGCGGTGCGTTCTTCACCCACCAAACCATGGAAGAAGCTAGAGTTCACTACGAAAAGTCCTGGAGACCTATTCTTCACGCGGCCGCCATGTGGCTCAATGACGGCGGTTTCAAAAACGTGCACCTGGAGCGATCGGATGTGAATATAAGTGATAGCGATAATTTGGGTCTTGGTGCAGCCAACGCTGCTGCTGTCAAATCTCCCGAGTCCATCAACACGGATAGGTTCCATTTAGTGTACGGTATTTGTGTGCGCGCACTCTGCATCAGTCAAGCATCTGATCCCTCTGAAAGTATAGCATCCTGTTTAGAAGCCATGCATTGTTTGCTTGATTCTCCGTGGGCACGGAGTCGACTCATGCTGGACGTTAAACTGGCAATCGAACTGTGCAGCGTTATGCACAGAATCCTTCTTACCAGAGATGTGATGTCTATACAAATCCTTGTTCTACAAGTGGTTGAACATATTTTAACCGCGGCTAAGGAACGGTTGGACGGTCTGAAGAAGCTGAAGATGAAAGGTGAGATGGAATGTTTTTCTGTCGAGTTGATTAGATTATTTCTGACCAATGCGTTGCTTGTCTGCTACAGGAGTTGCTCCGGCGAATCAAGAACCCAAGGGCAACCCAGAATGTGATTACCTTGGAGATGGCGGAGAAGTGGGTGAAATCGTGCCCAATGAGTCCATCGTATACGGTCTGTTGGAAGTGAGCCTTTGCGTTCTTGTTCGACATATTCCAAGTCTTCATCCCTCTCTTCCGCCGTCTTTGGCCTCCATACCGATAAAGAACGACCAGACAGAGAGTTCCGTGGGACAGCTGAAGGCAACTTTGATAGCCCGTGCAGTGAACGTTCTTCAGAATCTTCCGCAGCTCTCGTCTCCAAGAGGGTCTGCTAAGATTTTGCCCTCCGTATTATACTTGGTTACCGGCGTTTTGCGCGAAGCCAGTTTGGAGAATGTTGATGATGCTGCGTCTGGGGATGTATCATCGAGTCCAGCTGTTCAGGCATGCTTGAAATGTCTTAAAACCTTGGCTAGTGACCGTTATACCTGTGATGAGCGGTCTGCTCCCGTTTGGGTACCGCTGCTGCAAAGTGCTCTTCTTCGTGTATTGGACTTCTCCAAAACAGGTCAGTGTCTTATTACAGTTGGACCTTGAGATCTCCAACTTCCATGAGTCGAATACCCCGCGTGTCCATTTTTTTTTTTTTTAATGCCTGAATTCTTTACTATTTTGCCCAATATATTATAAACCCTTCTGACTCGAAGGCGTTCCCGCGTAAAACCTATATAACTTGATTTTTTCTCGAGGCCTCATGCTATTATTTTGGAAACTCAAGAAAGAAAAAACATTACAAGTGTATGCTACTGTCAACACTTCCAGAAAGAAGTTAGTATCTAATTGGGCAAATGAACCATTGCCTCTAATGTCAGCATCCTGTCAACTACCGTATTTACTTGAGTACCACGCGCACCTTTTCCCTCAAAATTCAAGGGGTAAAAGCGGAGTACGCGTCACATGCGGGTATACATTTTTATGAAAGTTTTAGAAGTTTATGTGTTTGTTATACTTGATTCTGATGGAAAATTTGGACCAATTTTATCAGAGAAACTATTGTCATGGGAATAGTTGTCAATTAGTCAAATTCGGCTTCAATTTGTGTCTAAATTCAAATTATTGTTCTTATTTTTGAAATTTTGCGGTTCTAGAGTTACAAAAAGTGGGGGTGCGCGTCTTACTCGGGGATACTACAGTATTAAATTAAAATTTTAGACTGAAAACCCTGAGTGCACGTCTCACTCTAGGGCGCGTGCTACTCGAGTAGATACGGTTAATTCAAGAAGCCGTTTGATTGAGAGAATATTGACGTCCTGTAATTTTTCAACGAAAATGCTCGTTTCCCTAACTTGAAACGTTCTCAAGTCGAATTTTTTCAGGTCCCTTGAAGATGGTTTTCGGTCCGCGGATGAACTCTGAATTGCATTAGCTGTGTCAAAATGTGCAGTTTGCATGGCTCAAGGAGGAAATTTATCTGTGTTACCCATTCTGTTCCAGGATTGGATGAATCGCTGAGAGTAAACCAATTCACAATGTTGATGGCTGTGGCAATGTTCATTTTGCACGCACCGAGCGCCGTGGTTTGTGCTCCGAACCTTCAGTATCCTTGTATCAATATGTTCAGGCTGTTCGTACACGACAAGGACATGGCTATGCGACTTCGTTGTGTGCAAACAATCAAATCAATCTTCCAAAGAAATAATCGAGCAGTCACTGCGCCTTATGTTCAAGCTTTGGCCCCGAGAATCATGGAAATTTTGTACGACGATGAGTCAATTCGTGTAGCGTCACAAGTCGAGTTCCAGGTGGTGAAGGAATCCTTGTGGATAGGATTCTTGCTCGTATCCATTTGTGAACCCGCAACCCGTGAGTCTCAACATCACCTCTGGAGATGTGTCCTGTAATAATTCTTTCATTTCACTGGCAGGAGAGGAACTTCTTGCACTTATCGCACCCGCTTTTGTGAGGCTAATGCTATCGGACTTGTCGGGAGATATCGACCCGTTGCGTCTGGCACTTCATCGCGAAGCAATCGACCTAGTCATGCGGATTGCGAATTCATATTCATCCGTGAGTGACTTTGCCGTATCCCTGCACTTTTGTGGGAAATTTGACAAGTTACGAGGGTTTGAGGAAAAGTTGGCAGGTTCTGTTTTGTATAGTCCTCCGTTTCTGTGGGCAATAGTACTTGAATAATGCAGTAAAATCTTGTCACAACAACTTTTTGTCTTAAACTAGTGTGAATTCAAGATTCAAGAATTGTTGATCAGACAAATCTTTTTGTTAATCTGAATTCAACCAGTGGTGACATTGGTTTTAGAGATTTAAAGCATTTTCTGCGTGCTTTTGAAGAATCAAAAATAGATTTTAACAACTATACAAGTGCGTAGTTTATTCCGTTACACAAAGTATAGAATATGTGAGCAGCAGCAATGAAGACAAGGTTCTCGCAACAAGCATTTGGTCAGAGTAAACTTAACATAATAGAACGGACACTGGTATTTATAGATAATTGCATTTGAGGTCAGCGCCAAGCATAGCAACCAATTTGGATTGGTGTTGACATACTTGGTTGCGCAGCAACCAAGGTAAAAGGCATGTGATGTAGGAAGACATTTAAAGGAAGTAAAGGTGAGGTTGTGCATTAAATTTACAATGTGGAACAGGACGTGAAACAGACGAGGGAGTGTAACAAAGTGCATTATATTGTAGTCATGATATTTATTGGACTACAAACTACTGTTACAACACAATTTTCAGTACTGTATAACAAACTTTTTCTCATGTCCTGGCAAAAACCCTGTATGGTCCGTGCTGAAATAATCTTGTTACAGTAAACTTCCCAATTATTGTTCAGCAAATTTTTTGGGGAATGTGTAATAGGTTCTCCAGGTAAAAATTTCCTTATTAAGGTAGGCGCATTCCTAAATTCCGTGTCCCAAATTTGACTGACAGGTTCTTCCCACCATTTATGGAAGTTGAAATCAGTGGAAAACATGCTTCCCAGTTGTTTCACACATATTCCTTCCAGAATGCAAAGATTTTCACAAGATCCTCCCGGAATGGAGAGACTTTCACATAATCCTCCCAGAATGAAGAGAGTGGTGCAACTGATGGAATGCATGATCGAAGTTGAAATGTTTTAAAAGGTACCCCAATTCTTCTAACAATGATGGAAAATCTAAGAATGCCAGAATAAAAGGTAGATCTAAATGATTGTAGGCAGGTCTGATGTGAAACATTTGTCCAGTCATCAATTGTGAAAATCATGTTATAACAAAATATTCAGTGCAATGTAGAAAAAATGCATTTTTAATGGACTTTTCAGAAGTCCCCAAAAGTGTTTTGTAATGAGATTTTCCTGCATTTCCCCTTTGATACAGCATTATTCAAATGTATGCAATTATATCAGGGAAATCGTAGCAATGTTAATGGAGGAACAGAATACTGTATTGAGCAGAAGTGGAGCATTCTAATGAAAAAAATTGTTTGCCACTTGAATTTGAATTAGTGAATACATTTTCAACTCAATAAGAACATTTGGAGCATTGAATTGTGTATCTCTGTACTGTACACTGAAATTTTGGCATCTACAAAAATAACATTCAAGTGAAAAAAATGTAAAAGTCCCTCTCTGCTGGAGGTAATTTTTTAAAATTAGCTAAATGGATGGTAATTTTGTGACAGAAATGCCCAAGAACTTTTCTTACATCAATTTTAGGGTTGGAAATACTGTATCTGTTTCTTGTAACTTGGCCTGAAATGTATTTGCAATTTTATCACAAAATGTCACTATGTTGAGTCAGTGCCCTCATGTTGGGCCGTATTTATTGATTTTTCATGGGAAAATAAATGTCCCTATGTCAAATTGTCTGCAGGTCAAGGCATCCGCATGTGGGGGTCTCACTGTAGTATAATTATTTTTTATTTTTCTGAATGTTGATATGAATTGAAGAAAATTAGCTACTGTATTTATATTCGAAAAAATTAATTACGGTAAATCATTTTCAAAAACTGACAATTGAAAAACAATTTCAGAGAGCTGTTCTAGTTCTTTGCTTCTTGAGCTCATATATGCCAAAAGAAGAGATTCTCGTGGTTTTCTTCGGCACAGTCATTTTCTGCATTTTCAAGTTGAAAACAAAAATTCAATTTTTGGGGACTTTATTCCCAATTTCTGATGGTCAGGAGAACCAAATAAATCTTTTCACAACAATGTCTATAAAAAAATAACGTGATCTGATATACGGACGGTTTGACTCGAGGACAAAGGTCCAAGCCCCAAATTTCGTCCGCAACTCGGGGCCGCACCGGAACGTACACTACTGTACACCAGTCAAGTCAATTGGATGATTATAAAAGATCAAATCATCCAGGACGGCACAACGACGCTCTTTCAGCGAAAAAAAACCTGCCGAATTGCGAGTAGGTGTGCAGGGCCACGCCCAGAATCAACCAGGAAGCTTCCTCGTGTGGCCAATGTCAACATAACCCACCCATTTCCTTCACCTTACACTAATGGGCGAATCGTGCAACATCAAGGGCGCAGTCTAGCGAACATTCAGTAAATCCAAGTGCTTTCCCCGTTTACACACCAGCAACCTCACGTCATGTCGACAAACAAGAGCCCACTTTGCGCCGATTGCAAGGCTCGAAATATTGTACCTCCCTTCAAGCATCATCACGTGATTGGAAATTGGCTCTTTTCGTTGAATCGCTAATGCGAGCAGACGTTTCAGAAACATGTGGAAATCGAACTCGTGCAGCGTTACAAGTTATTCAAAAAATAACATCGCGTTTTTCTTCAGATTTATGCAGCATGGTGTTCTGAGAATTTTTATGGCCTAATTTCAAAATTTAGAAGTGAATTTCTTTCAAATAAACAATGATTTTTATTTTATTTCAGGGAACATAGTTGTGAAGGCATAAGTGCTTTACTTCACACATATTTTGGTTTCAGTTGATATTTTAGTAAGATCAGTAAATTTTCAGGAGTTTTGAAGCAGGACAAGTTTGAATAAGAGAAGTGTAATTACTTTTTGAATTTCCCTGATTAACTCACAAAAAAGGAGTTGGAAACTAAAATTCCTTGTTCATTTCACGTGGAAGCACTTACGAGCATGTACCAACTGTTTCTTAAAACCTTTTAGTCCTCAATCTTCTAAAAAAAAGACCAGTATTCCACAGCTACAGAAAAGAGCTTGAAAAATATTTGGGACTCTTAAATTTTATGAAAAGACTCTCTCCAAAATCATAGAGGACCAAGATAAGCTATTAACTTCATATAATTTCTCGCCAAATATTCTCTCAAAATTCTTTAATCAACTAGATCTTATCTGGGAGCAGGCTGAACATCTTGTGCTTTAATATGTTCCTTAAAACCTGATTGGCTCTTTTCGTTGAATCGCTAATCCGAGCAGACGTTTCCGAAAAGCCAATTTGATAAACCAGGCTAACGGAAGATAATTTTTTTTTTATTAGTTCAAATCGGAATTCAACGGAAACCAATCTGGTAATTCAGTTGGACTTACAAAGTCAAGCCCCTTTTTTATTCAGATTTTCAGTCAATCCCCGGCCAACTCCATTGAATCACATAAAATGTTAACCTCATGAAATCAATTTCTATCAATCAAACCCACCTTAGCCAAATTTTCGAAGCCTTTCGTCAATAAACTGAGGCTAAATTTTAGAAAACATGCTGCGAAAAAAAATTACAGAAAAACGGATGCAAATTATTTTCTTTGTGCTCTCCACAAGAGACGGTAGGAGACTTTCTACAGGTAGGAAATCAATGAATAATGAACAGCACCAATATTTCTTTTTTGCCAGAAAATTATTTTCGCTGACCAACCCAAATGAGGCCGAAGTCCCTAACTCGAAAAGTGGAAGTCGCATTTTTTCCGGAGTCCCTTCAAATTCAGCTCAGAGAGGTTAAACTGTATGCAAAGATTTTCTCTGTTGCACGAATTATTTTCTTTGGTCCCATTTGGGTGTTGACCGGTAATGCAAAGGTGAAATTATGTCTATAACGAATTTTTTCTATAACGAATCTTTTAAATATTGCATAACAATATTGGAAGACGGCTGATGAACTGAGGCGCAGCAGAATTGCCTTCGCAGTATATCATTCCTTGAAAAGAAGTCTGATATATTCACTGAAAATATTACTAGCGCTGGAATATTCAAAGAATAAAATCCTCCCACATTTTGACAGCGTTCACATCTATAATCGTTACGGGGGCATAGAAAAGATTCATGACATTTTTGTTGCGAAATCAAGGTCACGCCCCAAGTTGCAAAAATGTGACCCTCGCGTTGTCAGTAGAAATGTCCATGTGTTCGTCGTTTTATCGCACATGAACGAAGAAGAAAATTGAAGGTCATTTTCATTTACGCGCTTGCTGAATATGAGAAAAAAAATCAAAGAAGCGGGCGGAGGTTTTCGTCCAGTGAAATGAAAATTTTTCGAAATTGTTCTCCGGAGTGAAGGAAGATTTTAACTCAACCTCAAGAACGTCATTTTGAAGCTACAGCATTACATTTTCGAGCTTACTAATCAAGATCTACTTTCCCAGGGTTCAAGTGAATCAATAGGACTCACGCGGACGCTTTAATTAAAATCAATTGATCTTTGAGAAAAGTTGTCAAGTGATTCTATTGGGACTTGAAGAGGTCATTTGCATTCACGCGCTTTTCAAAGGCAAGAAAAAAAAGATTACAAGAGACGCGGGGGTTTTATTCCACTCCCATAAATCAACTTTCAAAAAGTGTTCTCTGTAGTGAAGAAAAATCTTATCTGAATCTCAAAAATGCTGTTATCCCAATTCGCAACAACTTTAATTGAAAGAAGCTTTTGTTTCGCAAAATCCTGCAGCTGTTGAGGATGGTGAAGCTGAAACGAATGTTTCTGCAACGGCTGAATTCATTTTCAGTGTTTCAGTTTCGCTGGCTTTCGGAGAATTGACAAAAAATTCCTAAAATTTCAAGCAACCACTGTACAGTATCCGCTTGTATTGGTCAACAAGTCTCGGAAATTCGATGAAAGCGGGAAAAAAAGTTGGGAGAAAATTAACACGTCATCCACCCAGGGTGTGCCAAAAATGCGATACGGGGTTTGCGTCCAAAACTGGTTTCGGTTGATTTCAGTTGGGCGCGAGAAAATTTACGATCCGATAGAGACAAAATTATTGAAAAGCCAGAAAATTTTATAAGAGCAGTCGATCGAGGTGATGCCTGATGGCAGTTGAAACTTGAAAGTACTGTAGTCTGTTCCATGAAAAAAAAAATTTCAACGATAACAGGAAACTCGTGTTTGCCCGTGGGCAACGCGTAACTGTTCATTTGAAATTAAATTTATTCAACCAAATGAAAGAACGAGCTCCTTCTCTTATTGAAGGAACAAATTCATGAGTCATACCTGATCACACAGGCTATTCTTGGATCGATAAAACCTCAATAGACTAGCTTTTTCAACTGTTGCAAATTGAGTTTTAAACTAAAAAAAACTCTTTAAAGACGCTCATAAAGCAGAATTTATTTGAGATGTAAGCTGAGTCGATTCCACCCAAAGATATTCGTTTAATGTGAAAATGCACATGCTGCACAGAGAAATACAACGATAAAAATCTTATTTTACAACTTTCTTCATCACAACACATTTTGGAAAAGATCTCAGGAATTTTTAGAGCTAAGATATAAAAATCTCGTTCGAACAAAACTCGTTTTCACCGACAATCCCAGTACTGTAGTGTAGAGTATAAAAAGTCCTTCCTGAATATATGCATGAGCCGTAGGAATGCTTGAAAAGGTATGAACATGCGTAAATCAAACTCGTGCAGCATTACAAGTTATTCAAAAAATAATTGCTTCTGTACAGAGCGCTTTTTTCACAGATATATGCAGCATGGTGTTCCGAGAGTTTTTCTGGCTTCATTTCAAAATTTACAATTGAATTTCTTTCAAATAAACAATGCTTTTTATCTTATTTCAGGGAACATAGTTGTGAAGGCATAAGTGCTTTTCCTCACACATATTTTGGTTTCAGTTGATATTTTAGTAAGATCAGTAAATTTTCAGGAATTTTGAAGCAGGACAAGTTTGAATAAGATAAGTGCATTTACTTTTTGAATTTCCCAGATTAATTCACAAAAAAGAGTTGGAAACTATCATCGTTCATCTCATGTGGAAGCACTTACAAGCGTGTACCAACTGTTTCTTACAAACTTTTAGTCCTCAATCTTCTAAAAAAAAAACCAGCATTCGAGAGCTACAGAAATGAGCTTGAAAAATATTTGGGACTCTTAAATTTTATGGAAAGACTCTCTCCAAAATCATAGAGGACCAAGATAAGCTATTAACTTCATATAATGTCTCACCAAAGATTCTTTCCAAAATCTTCCATCAGCTAAAACTTATCTGGGAGCAGGCTGAACATCTTGTGCTTTAATTCGGGTTCAATGATGGCCTTATGCGGCATTTTTATCACTTATACTGTATTCCATTTTTGCTATTGAGGAGGGGACAGAAGTGTATGCATTCACATCAGTTGTGCAATTGCACATTTTGGGAAATATTTTCTTTTCTTTTACTATCCATGCACAGCTTATTTCTCCATTTTTCCATTTTGAGGTGATGGAATTTGCTCGGATGAATGTGGGTGGTGAGGGGAGGGGGTTTGGGTGTGGGAACATTGCTTGAACCTTGTGAAGGCTGAAAAGCAGAAAATAAAGCTAGCTGATCAATCAATCTAGAAACCATGAGTCACAATGATTTTTCACAGGTCTCTGGCAGTTTGTTTTAGAGAGAATTGTATAGTACTGTACATGTCGCACTTACTCAAGTAATCGGCGCCCATGGGTAAGAGATGCACCCAGATTTGTCAGTCCCAAACTTTTTATCCCCCAGTAAGACGCGCAACCCATTTTAATGATTCTAAACCTTCAACATCTCCAAAAATAATAACACCTATATTTTTACGTAGACAAAACCAGGGACTTGGAGCGGAGCCGGAGCCCGGAGCCTGGAGCCCGGAGCAGAGCGATTTTAGCTGGAGCAGAGCGGAGCCCGGAGCAGGCAAAATTTTTGGCTGCTCCGGGCTCCAGGCCTCAAATAAAATTTGAAAAATTTGGGGAGAACCCCCAGCCATATGTGACTGTTTGGCTGGCACCAGTCAACAAAACTACCTCCCTCCAATTCAGTCAAGTCCTCAAACCCTGAACAATCTTCGCCTTGTTGCTCTTATTAGATTGAGAGAGGGGTTATCCTGAATCCATTTTTTTCTCAACATCCTCAAAGATGTGGATGCTTGTGTGCTACACAAGTATCCCATGGTTAAGTTGAATTTATTTTTCAATGAAATCTAAAAAATGGGTTAGTTTGTGAGATATACAAGGGGTCTAACAAAAGTTCTTGGAATATAATTTGAAAAGGCCTACACATGAGCTGAAAAACAATTATTCTTTAGGAAAATATGTTCTTTGGCACAAGAAAAAAGTCAGCCCTGTTTTACCCATTTTTTGAATGTTTTGCAAAAGTCACCCTGGCAGAGTTCCACTCAAAAGATGAGGCACCCTTCCTGCAGATTTTGCTGTTGTACCCCTGCTTTCCTCTCAGAATTCTTGAAATCAACATAGCATTAATCCCAAGAGTTGCCTCCAGGTCTTCGAAGGTAATTCCACCATATACACATTATAGTTTGGCTGGTGCCAGCCAACAGTAGTCCCTCCCCTTGAATAAGTCATTAACATCTTGCTGGAAATATGCATCCCCTGGGTGCTCTACTGCAGTAAAGGTGGACACTTCATACTCAATAGTATGGACCAGTGTCCCCCAAATGTTTTTGGCCCACAGACCAAGACATTTTCAGAAATTTTTTGGTTGTGGAGGGGCACATTTCAAAAATAATTTCTGCACACTGGCAAAGTTTCATATTTGGTAACATTTTTGCAGACTCAAAAATGTTTTGTTCGAAAGACTTCATGGGAGGTATTTAAAAAGTTTGCTTGATTGCAGAAATTAGGCCAAAAACCAATGATGCAGCTACAGTACAGTGGAATATCTTCAAAAATTTAGAGAAGTCAGCTTAAAGAAAGGTTGCCGTGGATAAAAATCGAAATAATTTGTTTCAGCAGGTGAAATTTTGTCTGAAGTTAGGAGAAAAGCCAACTTTTATTTTTCATCATTAATTCAAACTGCAATTATCTTTCTGAAATTTCAGATAAAAATAACAGACTTCACTGCTCCTTTTGATTTATTATGCAGAGGAAAAGTTCCTGAAGACTGAAAAAAACTTCTGCAGACTTGCACTGGTCTGTGGGCCATGGGTTGGGGAACACTATTCTATCTATGAAGATGCAGGGGACCAGAAAAATATCTTCCTCAGATAATGCTTTTACAGAACCTCTTTAATATAGGTAGTGGCCCATATGGGCCTCTATCTATATTATAGCTGAATATAAACCTATATTATAGCTGAATATAAATTCACAAAGATTATAATTTCCATACCCTATTGTGATGAAGTTTTATTACTATACATTCAAGTCAGATTTTCCTAGTCTGTGACAAAAATTTGAAAATTTGTATTGCCT